AAAGAGATCGATAGCAAGCAATGGTACTCAGGCCGAGGTTTGTATACCAGATAGCCCTGTCACTCATGCATGAGCTGCAACTGATCCTCCTATCTTCAACTTAAAGCTTGTGGAACGGCTTTCCAACCATGATTTCCTACAGTCCCGTGCTTTTAGCATTGCCATGAAAAGGATCAATGGCAACGCTTCTACAGAGTATGCTCGCCCGCACGCACTTTACTCATCGAAACCCTCAGCACTGACGTCATTTGTTACCATATCCAGTCCCTCTGTTCGTCATTTCAACACTTCTCGTGCCGCAAAGGCCGTCGGAGATTCATCCACCGTCGACTTTGCATACTTCCCTTCTGTGGAGGAGATTGATGCTCCCCCCTCCCGTCCGGACCCGCGCTTTCCGATCCTCTCCGATATCTACAAGTACTATGATCCCTCAATGCAGTCGATAACGTCCGACCCACCCATGAAGCCGCAGGTCTATACTGTATCCGGAGAAGATGTGGCTGCGAGCCCCATGAGTGAGGTTGTTGACAATCACTCAATGGACATTGATCCCTTCTCCTTGACGGAGACCGTTGGCAGATCCCGTTTGGGGGCAGAGCTGCAAAGACAGCAGAACGGATCACAAGCCAAAGAGCCCGGTATTGTCAGGGAGCTTTGGTCCGGATTTTTGGAAGACCTCTTAGGTCCTAAACAGCAGACCCAGAGAAAATGACTTTGATGTATGATTTTGTTGTATGGAATATTAGCGCCGTGATTTAATGACGAAGCGCTCCTGTTCTTAATTCTTCTATCTTCTTTCTGTCATTTCCGGTCTAGTGACATGTTTTTTGATCGCCTGCTTTTCAGGTACACGGTACAACCCATGCCAGTCCTCTAGGAATCCATGGCTGAGGAAATAATTCTACCACTACCGTTGCAACTCCTATCGGACCTAGTAAGTGGACATGACGTACAATTTCCATTATTATTTACCTAGGCTGAACTATGATGTCCAAGGGATCAGTCACCAAGGTCAAAAAAACCATCCACTTCGGCCCTCGGTAGCATTGAACGAAGTAACCGATAGTCTTCCAGAAAATGCTAAGGTATTGTTACGGGATACATACTCTTTCTGCCTTCGGAAAGATATCTAAGTGGTGATGTGATGGACTGACGAGGGAGGTTTCCCGGCCCCTTCCGAGGCGGATTATGTTCTATTCCATCCATGAATCATCATCCACGATCGTGGTCTTGGTGGTTCCTGGCCGAGTTTTTCGTGAAGGATTGCATTCCTGCAGGAACAAAATTTGTGACTACTGCTTAGAGTGGCAGGATTACTATCAATGGTATCTGTCTTAATTGAAGCACCAACGCACAATACACTGCAGTGCACACAACGGGAGCTACCCCAGGTTCCAGTTGCGGAAGAACATTCAACTTTCTTCAAGGAGTACAAGGCACTATTTTCTCTTAGCTGTGGAATCAATCGAGACATGACGAATCATTTAGCACTGCCCATGTGAGCATATACCCCACCTCTACCTACTCCGAGGATGATGCAAGGGAACTACACGATAAATCCAGGGGCAGAATGTCATTCAAGGTCACATGAGTCAGTCACTCCCATTACCTCTTCGCCAAGAAATATCTGGATTTTGGGAAGGAGGGGGAATATCACGTGATTAAGATGCAGCGAAAAAGGCAATGCTAGCTACTATTCTGCCGCCTTGGATAATTATGATATTGTGAGATGGACCATTATGTCCTCCGCGTCGACTGTCCAGGCGGTCTGGATTGACCACTATCTACTCCATATCAAGTGGACTTCCTCGATCGGTCGAATTTCGAGCACTTCCCACAGCGCTGATAATTTAGATGATTGAAGGCCATGGTAAAAATAGCACATGATCATCTCCAAAAGTGACAGATATCAGAGCATAGCAACATATATGATAAAACGTCAGTAGCGGCGAATCAGTGGGGTTATCGAAACAGCCGAAACAGCTCTTGCGTCCAAAGACGACAACAGCTCCTTGTGGTGGCAATGTATGGGACAGAGACGAGGGCGTCTTTGTCGTCTTTCTTGCGTGAGACTCGTCCATTTGTATAAAGAAAGGCACTCCTTGTTCAGCTCGATTCCAAGGATGACGCCAAGCTAGTTGCAACCAAAGCAGATTTCACAGCTCATAGGTTCTGTGGCTGACTCGATATCCAATGTCTCTATTCAGGCCTGGTCTAGATTTTGACTGGGCAGGGCAAGCCTGAAAGGCGCACAACATGCATACAGTGGATCAGCTTGACTTGGCGTTCCTGCTGCTCGCCTGTTCAAGACATCCTCAGTTGAGAAAGATTTTGACTTGTGGTTTGAGGGATGTATCTCAACTTTGAAATCTGAACCACGGCTGCTATTGAATAGTGGCCAGCAATACCTTCTCTCAGGGGTGATGCAACCTTTAGATATCCCACCGCCCCATAAATCCCGAGGGAAGCATCAATGTGCAGATCGGAGGCGGCCAGCAGGGCTATGACCCATAAAGTGGCTATTAAAGAACGTAACTAAACGGACTTATGACCACTTGTCAGTCAGATTCCTGCCTCATCCAAAGCATTAAAACTAGTAAGTGTTACTATGATGGAGAATTGTCCTCTGTGCCTGCACTGTGCCCAAGCTAGACAATGAGAGTAACTGTTTTAGGTGTGGAGCTACCTGGAGATAGTTAGTGTGTCTAGCACTAAAGAGTTAGTGACTTGCCGAAGGTTTGTTCTAGTCCTTTGGGGTCTTAATACTTGATCTGCTAGTGGAGAACATCCCCTATCCATCAAGCACCTGCCCACCTGCTGCACACCATGCGCTTCATCTCTCATCTTCATATTCATCTTCATCTGCATCTCTCATCTCTCACCTTTGCGATGAGCTCTTATTATATTGCTCAGCAGGGTGCAGGTCTTTTGATCTGTTAAGAATCCTTTCATTTGCTTGTTCTTTATACCCTTTCTATTATAGACTGCACCCTCAGCGTCTGTTCTTTCATCACGCTTTGTCTGGATTTCACTCTTTAATTACAGTAATACCCCATAGACAAGCATTGCAGATTCCTTTCTACTCGACTCACTCTCACTACCGTCATTTAATCCTAATATACCGAGGTTTTGGTACTCCAGTCTCCGTCATAAAAATTGACCCCTCTCATGATTTGGTCATTATTGAGGCGAACATAGATTCCCTCTAGGATCATGCATCTCTTACAATGTCTTCTTTCGACCATTTCTCTCGCCTCCACAGTTACAGCTTTTGTTCCTTATTCATTTAACCTCGAGATCTCGACCGACGGGTCTGCCAGCAATGATGTCGCCCGCCGTTTCGTGCCATGGAAATTACTGCCGGACGACTCAGACAACAATCACGGGTCCTCTTCAAATGGTGTCTCTTTAACGCTTGACCTCAAAAAGTTTCCTGTCCGCCGTGATAACAATTACAATGTTGTCTTGGCAGAAGAACCTACAACACCCAACACTGCCGCTCTTAACCAGGAGGGCCTCGATTACTCTTACTTTGCTACGGTCAGGGTCGGCTCTCAGGACCAGCAGATGTGGTTGGTTCTGGATACGGGGGGACCGAATACTTGGGTCTTTGGCTCAGACTGCACGACTGAGGCCTGTCAGCGACACGAAACATTCGGTGAAGCCGCTTCAAAGTCTCTCAAGTTATTACCGCTGAACTGGGCTGTCGGGTATGGGACAGGATCGGTCAGCGGCGTCCTTGGGACAGACAGTCTCTCACTTGCTGGTTTGGATGTAAATATGACGTTTGGCTTGGCCAAAAATGCTTCCACCGATTTCGAATCGTATCCCGTTGATGGTATTCTGGGCTTGGGACGATCGGCTAATAGCAATTTCAACACTCCATCGTTCATGGAAACCGTCGCGGCGCAGCGCCTTCTCAAATCAAATATTATCGGATTCAGCTTCTCTCGCAACTCGGATGGTGCCAGAGATGGAGCGGCGAATTTTGGCGATGTGGATACCACCAGGTTCACGGGTGATATCGTCTACACGAACACAACTGGAGACAGCAATAACTGGAGGATACCCTTGGACGATGCCAGTGTGAATGGTACACCTTGTCGTTTCGCCAATAAGACCGCCGTCATCGATACTGGCACATCGTACGCCATGCTTCCCCCGAAAGACGCCACAGTGTTGCACAACCTCATTCCGGGTGCTGTCACGACCTCACAGGGGCAGAATTTCACCCTGCCGTGCAACTCGACGGCAGTGGTGCAAGTGAGCTTCTCGGGCCTTAGCTACAACATCTCCCCCAAGGATTACGTCGGACCAGCATACGGTTCAGCTTGCTTGTCCACTATTGTGGGACAAGCCTTGTACGGGGACGACGTGTGGCTCTTGGGCGATGTGTTCTTGAAGAACGTCTATTCTGTGTTCGACTATGACAATCATCGGATTGGCTTCGCAAATCGTTCTGTTCCTATTGCCTCACCGACCACTACGGTCGCTGCAGCCGCAAACCCTTCTGCGACAGACGGAGCTGCGTCGACTTTGACTGGCTCCATAGCAGTCCATACTGGGAGTGCGTCTATTGTATCCCGATTTGTCCACTGGCCCTTTGTTTCCGCACTTCTTTGCATGGTGTTGGTGTAGCCAAGCTCCACCACACCAAATCTGCTTCTTTCGATACCAGCTTATATACCTTTCATCATTCTATACATTGCCATATTACCGGCTACGCCTTGACGGGTCTTTTATTACTTACCCAGCGTAAGCATGACTGCACATTCTCTTGAACGCTTTTTCGAAGGGGTACTTCGACAAAGCTGTAACACATACTGTCTTTTTAATCCAGACGTTTTACTGATGGCATGAGTGGTTCCTAGAGTACGATCTGTAATATAACAGATGACATTACCAGAGTCTCCCACAGTCTGAACTGCGAATGAGCTCTATGTACATGCATTTTCCAATAATTGTCTCCAAATTTTGAACGCACGTATAGACAAAACATATCAGAGAACCTTGTCCGGTATGTAGGTATACGACCTGGGATAAGACTCTAATAAATGATCAGCGGCCGTGCCTTTCTTCACTGAGCTCGACATACCTAGTATAGACCTATCAAAGTCTTTGATACTATTAAATCCCCCAACTCCCATCAAGATATCAAAATCCGCCAGGAGTGACTTCATGACATGGCGCACGCCTTCCTCGCCCATGATACTGAGCCCCCAGATCCAAAGACGACCGACAAAGACGAACTTCGCGCCCAACGCCAGCGCTTTGACGACGTCGCTTGCACCCCGGACTCCAGAGTCATACATGATGTAGATCTGGTCACCCACAGCGTCGACAATATTCTCCAGCGCATCAAGACTGGCGATCGCACCGTCAACCTGGCGGCCTGCATGGTTGCTCACCACGATCCCGTCAACACCGTACTCGACGCACTTTCTCGCGTCCGCGACGGACTGGATCCCCTTGATGACGAACGGCCGACCACCGGAGATGGACTTCCACTTCTCTATCAGCCAGGGGATTGTCTCCCAGGACCAGGCGCGGCCATGCCAGACGGAGTCGATCCACTTGGTCGAAGCGGCCAGGACATCTTTTTCAATGTCGATGCCGGCCTCTTGACAGCGCTTCTGGAACACTGGGTCCGTTAGCCCCAGATCGGCGCCAATGCCGCGATAAAACGCATAATTCGAGTTGGCGACATCGTCGTGCCGCCAGCCGAGCTGCCATGTATCCGTCGTGAGCATCAGTACGTCGAATCCGGACTTCCAGGCCCGGTTGAGCAGTGAAAGCGTCAGCTCGTCATCGTGGGGCATGTACAACTGGTAAAAACGCGGGCCTGATCCGTTCGCCTCGCCGACCTTCTCAATTGGCGTACTGCCGGCTGTGGAGAGGCAGTACAGGAGATTGAGCTCGTGTGCGACCTTGGCGACGGCGACTTCAGCGGCAGGATGGTAGATCTTGTTGATGCCAATTGGGGCGAACCCTATGGGTGCCGAGACCTTGTGGCCGAAGATCTCCGTTGTTGTGTCGCGGAGGTTGGTGTCGACTAGCTGCCGGGGGACAATGCGGTGGCGGTAGAAGGCTTGTCGGTTGGCTAGGTGGGTATTGGACATGCCTGCATTCGAGGAAGCATAGTACCTGTGAAGTGCCTTAGTATCTGGCTTATCCATCGAGACCCAGCGTTGCGGACATACCAGCCGCCTTGGCTGAGCTTTTCGCGGGCTAGCTCTTCGAGTTTTCTGGGATCTTTACGCTCGAATCTTAGTTCGTGCCTCCGATGCTGTACTTTGTCAGAGTAAACATACCGGTGTTGAAAGGCACAGTCTTGCCCTCTCTTGCTCTCAAGAAGTTTTCCCGTTGATAGAGAGCCCATTGGGGCGTTGATCTCTGCTCAATGTTGGGGTTGTTAGGGTCACTCATCGTGTAGGCTGATCGATCTAGCACATCAATGGCACGGTAATAGAACAGAGAGTGCTCATACAATTATATGAGCCGGTTCGCTGATATATCAACCGTATCAAGCCGTCTGGTTCGACACAAGACTTCCCAAAGACACCTTTATCAATGACTTCATTTTGACGCATTCTCGCACGAGAGAGATGATCGCCTTCATTTGGACTGGGTGGAGTAGTTGGAAGGCAGGTAACAGTGGTAGGAACGCAAGCATGTGGTTTGATAGTACCTCTTTACTACTAGTGACCACTTGCAGCCGCGCATATATTCTTCTGCTTGTAAACAATCGATCGCGGTTGATGCCGAATGCTTCAGGCAAATAGATCACGATGATGTCAACAGATTCGCTTTCAACAATCAACCATCAACAACATTCTCAACAAACTAACATACATCCCGATGAGCACCGAAGTGATTTGGAGTCTATTATGTGAAAGCTTCTTTAGATCTCCACAATCTTGAACCCTATACAGATTCTATAAAGTAATAAATGAGGGATATAGTCATCGTTGGCCCCGACTTCATCCGGGCGGAAACGGCCTCGGGAACCCAACCGATTAATCGAGCCGACCACTGGTCCTTGACCCTATTCCACAAACAAAGGAGTCAAACAGGGGTGTTGGTCTAGATCGGTTCATCAATTCATACATATACAGCTATATTCTACTGATCACCGAGATCGGGTACTTCTGACGACTTCACATTTCCATCATGTTCAGGCTCAGCGCGCGAAGATCCGTTGTTACTCGGGCACAATGTCTATCACCACACACGGCCAGCTCAACCGTTCTTCGCATAAAAGCTGAGCATCCATCAACAAAGTCATTAATCTCGTGGAGGGCTTTTCACCCCAGCGCAGTGACCAATGTTTCTTCCAAGCCGACATGGATGCCCATGCGCGTCAAGACTCCGTGGATCGAGGCGCTGACGAAGAGTCGCGAGGATGCACAGTCGGACCAGACACCTCGTGCGCAGGGAAAGCCAGACTTGACACCAAAGAAAATGTCAGATAGTTATTACAGTGCCGTAAGTTGCACTATGAATGTTGTTTGTTTTGCACGAATGCGAATGGAGTGACCGAGTGCAATCATTTAGATTTTACCCCTGAGCCAAGACAAATGGTTGCTGGATTCTTACCTGAATGCTTCGGGACATATCAGGTACGATTCTGTTTTCTTTCTGTGGGACATAACTCATTAACTGCTCCTCTCATAGACTGGGATCACTGCTGATGGACCTGGATGCCTTGGCGGGCATCATCGCGTACAAACACGCCGGTGAATCAGTAGCTACTGTGACCGCGGCAGTGGATCGAATTACCATCGAGCATCCTCTAATGGAGATTTGTGATCTTGAGCTGAGCGGTCAGGTCACGTATGCCACGGGAAGATCAAGTATGGAGGTGTCCCTTCAAGTGACCAGGGTCCCTGCGGAAGGAGAACCGGTAAAACCGGAGGATGTCCTTATTACCTGCGCCTTTACTATGGTCTCGCTTGACCCCGCCACCAAGAAGTGAGTGCTGAGTATTAAGATGTCGGAGAGCAGCACTGACATCCCCATTAGGCCTGTTCCTATTGCACCTTTGCTTGTGGAAAATGCGGAGGAGCGTCTTCTCTTCCACAAGGGCGAGGAGAATTATCAAGCCAAGAAGGCTCTGAGAACGAGGAGTCTCCTGGAGAAGGCGCCTGACGCCGAAGAAAGTAATTTGATACATAACATGTGGACGAAGGAGATGGCATATTTGAGTGAGTGACAATAATCCCTTCGGCTGTCACAACGCTGATGCTAACGCGGGAACAGATCCCGAATTACCTGCCCAAAGACCTGACAATATGGTCTTCATGAGCGACACAGTACTGAAATCCGCCATGATTATGCAACCACAGGATCGCAACCGACACAACTTTATGATCTTCGGTGGCTTCCTCCTCAAACAGACTTTCGAACTCGCATTCTGCTGCGCCGCCTCATTTTCCCACGCCCGTCCCAACTTCATCTCCCTGGATCCCAGCACCTTCGAGAACCCTGTGCCCGTGGGAAGCGTTCTGTACCTACGGGCTACAGTTGCTCACACAGAACCGCTGGAGAGAGACGGCACCACATACACCAAAGTGCAGGTCCGCGTCGACTCTAAGGTTAGGGACGTGGAGCACGGCAGCAGGAAATCTACGGGCCAATTCAACTATACCTTCTTGGTTGAGAAAGACATTCAAGTCATGCCCCGAACTTATGGTGAATTTATGCTCTGGACCGATGCGCGCAGACGAGCACAGAATGCTGCCGCCATGGTGACTGGTTCTAGGGAGCCCAGCACTCTTCGCAACATCAAGGATAGTGTGACCGAGTAGAGATTTCCATTTGGAGCAGGGCGTTCGTGAATTTACAGTGTTTGTATTTACAGTGATGGAAATATATCGACAGCTAGACACTATTGTCGAGTCATTGGAACTTTGCAACAAGTGAACAACATCGCCAAATGGCCATAGTAGCCAGTCACATGACATCATGTGCTCCGCACCAGCGATCAACAATCGCTCTTAAACTTGTCGCCCTCTACAGAGAATCTCCTTGGTTTCTGTAGTCAAACATTCGGATCCCACACGATATCTAAAACTTATACATCTTATAGACTTAAGCTCTTGCCGAAGACTCAATGTCACTCCCCAATGTATGGCATCTACGTCGGGTGGCCGATACTGCCGCCAAAGCATGCTTCGTTTGCTACAAGCCCTCCACTAGTGTTCTGATTACACCAGACAACAAGGTAGGCTCCGCCTTGCTATTGAGATGCAGTCATCTTGTACAGACTCTTTGTTGGGATCCTGCTGACTACGTAGGACTTTTTCTATGTCTGCCCTGTCCATCTACAAGATAGGCATTTCTGCTCTCCTATCGTGGACTCGGAGCAGGCGGCAGCCAAGGCAAAGCAGGAAGCATTGGCGCGGGAAATTGAGATAGTGAAAAAGGAGTATGAAGAGAAGCAGCGACGGAAGAAGGAAAAAGAGAAGGAGAAGAAGACCGATGACGAGCCGAAGGATTCAGACAAGAAATCCAAGAAATCGGACAAGGAGGGCGACAGCGGCGCCAAGTCACTTGAGAAAGAAAGAGATGAGAAGGTAGAAATGGCCCTCTTTATTACCTCTGCAAATGGAATACCTAACTCAGACGATTCGCTGACGTGGACAGATCGAGTCCCTCACAAAGTCCGCTTCTTCGTCCGCTACGGATGACTCGCCTCGTATTTTCGCTTTACACAAGTATGTCTATTCCCAAACCGGATACGTAGCTAACCACGTCATCCTTGATCTGAACTAACGATGGACAGAAATTTCTACCAGATGCGCGTCGACAGACAGCGTAATATTGAAATGGCCAAGCGGAATCGTCAGCGCTTGCAAGAGCCATCTCTCTTCCCATCTGTCCCGTCTGGCGATCTTTGATGCGTGGCAGTCACATCCATCATTTCTTTTGACGCATAGGGGTATCTATCTATTCGTTGAACGTTGAACCTTTTCGGGAGTCGTGTGCGGAGTACGGACTAGGATGCGGATCCTTCATGCCTGGCAAGGCTGGCACCAAATGAAACCTGATCCGCGGGTAGTCTCAAGGCTGATGCGCTGGCGGATTCTGAGCTCAAGTGACTGATTTTGGAATGGGGGCAGCAACTCGACAAAAGCATCCCACTATCCTGCTGCTGATCCTATCTGCGGTCATATCAGTTCCGCCTTCTCAAATACCGAGAAGACGGATTCATTGGCAATGACCGAGTCACAACATGATCCGGATAGCCCGCCGGCAGCCGGCAGCTAGAACGTCTCACAAAATTTCCAGAAAGAAGGCTGTGCATACTGTGGTAAGCACTAGCCTGGATAAGGAACACGATGTGATCAAGCCGTTGCAGAAAGCGAACGGTGCGGTACGTTCGGATACTACGACAGAGTATCTGCTGATCTTCTCTGGTCACAGCATGCATAAGCCAGGTGTGAATGGCGGATTATACCACATCTCCTGTTTCGCTCAGTTCGGCGGCAGTTCATTGCAGAGATTATCTTGAACCCTACCTTGCAATCAGAAAATTATATGGACGCAACTTTTGATCTGCTGCGCCAATTACTGCCCTATCCTCTCTCAGTGGAATTTATTGTACGCCAGTCACCAGAAGACTAGCTCCTTCACCGAGCAGCAATCTGCCTGTCGCCTGATCAAATACAAGGATGTCAATATCACCGAAGATTACCAGGGCCGGCACCTTGGACGAGGAGGAACAAGGTATGCTGGTTGCCTGAACAGGTTGCAACATTGAAGCCTGCCGTGCCTACAGTTACACTCATGATTCTCTGCCCATCATCAGGAGATCATCAATCCCCTGATGTAACTGCGAGGGTGCTAAGCTGCCAGACCTGCGATTATCGATCTACAATCTCAGAAATCCACCGCGTGACGTCATCCTCAGATAAACCAACTGCCACTTTGCATTAAACAGAGGAGACAGAAGTATGCAGCTCAAACAGTCTCGCCGCTCGATCTGGTTTGAACGCTTGGTTCCTGAAATGAGTGAAGTACATACACCTTGCGCAGTGGACTACTTCCTGGCTCCGTAAGGCAGGTAGGCTGTGCATCTCCTTGGCAGAGATGACTGCTGACAAGCACGGACTTTCTTAATGCTGCCCAGACGGGTGACATATTGCGATGGCCAACCCTACATACTCCTTTTATAGTTGATAACAGGTTGGCTTATGTCTCCGTCATACCTTCCTCCCTAGTGGTCTGAGGTGCAGCAGCTGCGTGTAAATCTCTCTCCCTAGAACCCAGAATAATGATTAATCAAGATGACATTGAAGATCGCTGAGTGCTGCTTATGGCGTGGTCTACCAGGTTGACACCGGCAATATACGAAGGAATTACCCAAGGTAGGAAATGAAAAATACACAGATACGATACACAAAGCCCCACAGCCCCTGACACAC